TGAAGGATGGTCATAAACGAGCACCGAAAACCTAAACTGCCACATATACCACATATGTCAATACAAAAAAATATAGTTAGCGCTCCAGCATGATATTCGACACTCGATCAAACGACATGCGACCGTGAATTGTGCGAAAAACTGCGAAAAGAAGCTGCGGGGAGTGAGCCGTGAGGCTGTTCCAGTGGCCTCCAAAGTGGCTTTTACAAGAAGTGCTGCCACCCCCGGGAGTTGGGCGCGCCGTGCGCAGTTCACCGCCATATACTTGGGTTAATTTGCGAATCGCTATTTATAAAACTTGTTCACGCAAATAAAGAAAAAAAGAATTTTAAAATGAGCGCACAGAATACCGCAATGCTACGAGTACAGCCGGCTGATTTCGTAACAAGCCGAGGAGTTCTTGATATCACGATTGTTTCATTTCTGACGGCGGTGGAATGCTTTGGTTCAACTAGATCGACCCCCCAACTTCCAATCTTTAAAAACTGAAAAATGGGTCAACCTACATTCGCGTAAATACGGTAGTTCAGATGCGATCATCGGTTGTGTTTTGGTACTCCCTCTTGTGAACAGCTGAGAAAGTTTGTTACAACATCGGCCAGTTGAGAGCTTAGTCCCGGCCACCAAACCGACATCTTGGCTCGTTGCCGGCATCTTGTGGTATCCTGGCGGCCTTCGTGTAGTCAATGTAAGACTTGCTTTCTCATCTGACTTGGAATCACAAGGCGGTTGCCTCCCACCAGTAAGTTTTCTTGTACCATGAGGTTGTGTTGTTTTTGAAAATATGGGGTGATTTCGATGGGTACTTGGTCCTTAATAGTTGGCCATCACTTTTTGCAGTACTCCTTCACTTTAGTACAGACTGGATCTTCCTCTTGCAACTTCTTTACCTCGTCCTCGTGTTCAATGTTCTTGTTTCGTTGCGTCAGAACCATGCAGATCTATACTTCTCCATTCGGTTTGGGGACCACCACTATTGCCGAACACCACGGTGTAGGTTCTTCAACTTTCCTGATGATTCATTCTTTCTGCATGTTTGCCAGCAGCTCTTGTACTATCGTCATCAGTGCCTGAGGCACGTGCCGTGATGCGTGAAAGGAGACTGGCATTGCGTCTTTAAATCGTTGCATCTTTCGTCATTGAGTCTCGGCCAAGGCGATACTCTCGCCGGGCCTTCGTCTTTGAAGTGACAGCTACTGCGCGCTGCCACCAGTAACTCCCGACATGTAATCACCCTGATACCACAAACCTATCGTCCAAATGTGAATATCGAGATTTGGAATTAACCTGCTGTTGCTAAATGAATGTTAATTCTACCGTGGCATACACAGTTGAAAAACACAAACACTTTTGTAAATGATAGGAAGCGACGGTAACCATTAAAAATGACAAATGCATTTCATGCTGAAAAGGTTTTTAGTACACCTAAACAAAGAAACAATTGCAAAAAATATTTAGTTTATATGCTTTAAAACTAAAGAAATGCGAATGAGCTCATCGAACTGCATACGACGCGGTGTGAAGAAACGAGAGCCAACAGATGCAGACGACACCCTACACTTCCGCTCCGGAAGCCGATCCCAGCAACAGTCTTAACGCGGTTGCTGCACTGGTTCTGCACCGTGGCTGCACGACTCCTGCGCTCCTCTGAACTCGGACAAAACTAGAACTTTCTGGCCAAATCGAACAGACCTAGAGTTCCATTCAGGTAGGTTCTCAGCTAGGGTATGCTTTAGTTGCATAGTATGGCATTTCCAAAACTACCTAACTTCTTGAGTGTCGAAAGAGTTCAAAACAAATTTATCTCCATCTTCAAAGATTGTTTTCTAAAGAAAGGTGTACGTTGCTCGAGATGTGAAGTTGATTCAGAACTCGTCAACCTGTTAAGTCTGCACCGGCATCGAGTGAAAGTGGATTTGCAGGTTTTGTTTAAGACACTGCATGGCTTGATTTACTCCCCTAGCCTCCTGTCAGAAGGTCATCTTAGAGTTCTATGTGTGCCCATCTGACTCCAGTCATAATTTTATATATCTCGACATTTTAGACAATTAAACCCAATCTATAGGTCGGCTGAGTTTTATAATCTCTACTCTAGCAGACTTGTTATTTTTGTGCATGCTGCGCTAGGTTTGAGCACTATGTCCAAAACATGCTCGCTCATGCTGGAATAAATGCTAGGCTAGGATAAATGAATTTAAATTAGTATTTTACTAATAGCGTATTGTTTAGAGGGCCAAAAGAGAGAAGGTAAAAAGTCACAAGACTGCTTTTCGGTAGGAAAATTTGATAACATAGCAGATTATTTCATACCTCCTCTCCTTTGAAAGTACCCCTCCTTATCATTGTGTTACATCCGCGATACCCCAAGCATGTCACCCGGCCCCAAAGCACGTCACACGACACTTGGCCTCACTATATTTCGTTCACTCCTAAGCTGACAGTGCACTGAAAGCTACCTGCTCTCCGGACCAATCAGCCACCTCCCTTTCACCACCTGACCTCATTCTCTGCAAGCGGGCGTGCGCAAGGGAGCGTGATCATCTGGCAAAAGATACAGGTGTGGCTGGCCAAACAAGCCTGTAGCTTCCACTGCCACGGGTGGCATAGCCGATCAAGGGCAACTAAACGAAAATAAAGCCCGAGGGTTTATCAACAATGTCACTATCAGGAAAAAAATTAGATTGCAAGGCTGTGCTTTTAAAATTCATCATAACCCTTATCAAGCCAGTGTGGTGCATGTGGACAGCAGGACCAACTTGTCGCTGGCTCCTGATGAAGTGTGCAGGACACCCCTCGAGTGGGTTGTTCCATGTTGCCCCACATGACTAGTTTAGTTGGCGCGAATGCCACCAGTCGGGCAGACGCCGGAGAAAGGCACGCGCCTCCGCATTATAGACAAGTGTCATTAGCACTGTACAAGGACCCATAATAAGAGTAAGAACAAAGCGCTTTATCAAGATGCCACCAATGTATGAGTACCATCATGTGCAAGTTCGGAATACTAGTGCATGCTCTGTACCAGACTCTTTCTATATATTCAATTTTTTCATGTGAACCTCTAATGTAAGAGGGACAACTGTTAGAAACCCGATTCCTTCTTGCTTTGACTTACACTGAAGGCAACCAGACACATCTGTTTTCTCCCCCCTGGGCTTTGTCCTTTTATACTCATACTTATCCAGTGAAAACCTTGTAAGACAGAACTGACTTCACCATGCAGATGTTTGGAAAGTCCAGGTTTTCACATTGGAAGAACCCAAAGAAATGCAAAATGCCTCAAAGAGTTTAAGTCAGAAAACATCTAAAAACGATTCGTAAAAATTCAGCAGTTTTCAAAGAAAGAGTTGCTGGGTGATTGCAGATAAGACCGACCAAAAGGTGGCTGGTCAACATTTTTAAATTAACTAATGCTTTTATATGCCATTGTCTAGTGTCTGGTATAAACAAATCTGCACCTAGTTTTGACCAGAAAAAAATATTTGGGAACAGGAAAAGTTGTAAAGAATGAAGAGGTAGACAGCTGCATTAACGTGCACTAATGGAGGGGGCACTTTTGAAAGGAAATACCTAAAACAATAAAATTAGGAGAATTATATTACTTTCCAGAAACAAACTTTGCGCACCGCTTGCTTGTAAAATATAAATACGATATATATTCAAATCATATTTTCTTTCCTAAAAATTGCTAAACATGCCTGTTCGAACCACAAATGTCAAAATTTGGAGGCCTGTATCTCATGAAATAATTTAATCACTTTGTTTGCTGTAGTTTCTCCTCACTTTCACTGTGTGACCGATTGCTCTAGTTGTCAATGACCTCATCTGAATAAGAATATATGAAAGATGTGTGTTAGTTTCATGAAACTGGAACTCAGAGTCACTTCTCGTATAGGGCACTGCTAAGTGTCGGCTTTGAAAAAGGACCTTACTTTGGGGAGTTATGTATTCGTACTCCATAAAATAATGCAAGATGTTTTTAATAGAAATGAATTCCGAAATAGAGTATGACAGAATACCAAAATTTAAAATAAATCGAGTGTTTTTTCTTTAAATTCGCATTAGAATTTTTTGCTGTCGGCTTTTTTTCTTGTGTTTTTCTAAATATATCACGATTATCGTATCACTAAGAAATCTTATATATATTAAATAATAGCCCTATATAAGTAGAATTCTGTCTGAAAAGTATATGATGGTGATTAAATTATTTCATGAGATGCAGACCTCCAAACTTTGCCATTTGTCGTTCGAGCAAAAATGTTTGGCAATTGTTAGAAAAAAAAAAATGTAATGTAAATAAATATTATAACTATACATTACAAGCAAGCTCGACCCCCATTTTGTTTTTAAAAAGTATTAGAATTTTCCTCATTGTATCGTTTAGTTATTCACTTTCAAAAGTGCCATCTCCATTAGTGCCCATTAATGCAACTGTCCACCTCTTCATGCTTTACAACTTTCTCTGTCCCCAAATTCCTTTTTTCTGTTTAAAACTAAGTGTGGATTTGTTTATACCAGACACTAGACAATGGCATATAAAAACACCAGTCAATTTAAAAATGTCAACCAGCCACCCTTTGGTTGATCTTATCTGAAATCACCCAGCTCTACCAACTTTTCCATGAAAGTAAAAACTGCAGGAAAGGAAAAGAAGAGAGCGTGCAGGGATGTCGGAACACTGAGCTCTGGTTGGAACGATTCGTGAATAGATGCAAAGCTAGTTGCCTTTGTCTCTGCTGAATCTTCAAACGCCTTTCAATGCCAAACGCCGGCGTCCAGCATTTGGTGTTCGTGTTTCAAACGCATTCAAGCAGCAAGTGAAGACACAAGTAGCTGGCTTTGTGTCTACCCGCTAATCATTCAGCTCTGCACTGCGGCGTCCCTGCACGCTTTTGTTTCCTCCTCTCCCTCAATCTCAACCCGCATCTAGTCTCGCAACTTAGGGAATATAAACCATTGTGATGCCCTAATGGAAGAACAAACAAAGTGTCTGCAAAACTTACCTTTGCGTCGTTCTTGGTGAGGAAGTCGACAAATGCAAAGCCACGATGCCTCCCCGTACCGGCCATCTTCTTGGGCAGTCGGATGTCCCTCAGTGTACCGAATACACTAAAAGGAAAAGAAAGACTTTGAACAAACTTCACCACTCTCAACAAGAATTGGAAAATATGGAGTAAAAATTAAATAAAAATAAAAAAAGATAAAAATATTTTTTGTATGTATTGAATGCATTATCATTGGAAGCGAGCGACACCTACAGGGGGCGCCGCCTTGGCAAATGGTTGGCGGCGCCACCAGTGACAGTTTCCACGTTACGCGGTATACCGTAATGTACCAAAAGGTAGCCCACTTAAGATCAAGAGCAAATCAGACGATATTATGGAGTGGCCTAATTTTCGGTGCACAATAAAAAAAGTTGAAAAAATGCAAGTTTTGGTCATGAGTCCCTTCCAAGTTTGTTATCATGTTGAGGGGCGATGAAGCAAAGATGACTGCACTTACCAATTAGCAATGTTCGCTTATATTCCGCCATAGCTAACTAGCCGCATTTACGCCGAGGCTGTCGCTGATCCCAACACTACAATTACTAGGAATGGGCTATCTTTAGGTGCTTAAAAAAATATAGCAAATCAAGCCAAACATAGGGGTGGGCTATCTTTCGGGGGTGGGGCATCTCTCAGGATTTTACGGTACTAGTGAAGCGCCGCCTGCACCAACCTGCCCTAATTTGCCCGTGGCAGTGTTTCTCGATCTTGCTTGGGAGTAAAGGTTTGGTACCTTAAGCTTCTAAACCGACCCACGTAGAGCATCGCTCTGGATGTGTTTTCCGTTGTTCATCCTGCAGAAGTTACTCAAAGCTCGGGTTTGGTGGTCTGTTAAGCAGCTGTGAGCGACAACGGCGGCAACCTGCCGCCATGTTTGTTGTTCGTCTGTGCTGGAAGATGGCCCTACGAAGTATTTAGGTGTTTAATGGCTCCGAGATTGCTACAGGAAGATGTTCTGTAGTGCCAGTAATTAATAAAGTCTATGTCCAAAGTATTTTTTGCTCCTCTTATTACGAGATTGCTCATCGCTCACCGACGGGTCGAGTAGACGTGCCGGGATCGAGACGATTACGGTGTTTTTTGCCAGCGTGTGGAAGGGATCTATGTTCTTGATTTCTGGGTCTCACGTAAACAAAGTTAATGCCCAGTGCAACCCCAAACGTTTTGCATCGTGTTGTGCTCGGGCAAGCCGACATTCATTAGAAACAAAGGTTGGTTGCCATGTAGGTTGTCCATGCCAGTACAGCTGTGTTCCATATGAAATGCTTTTGCTAGGAGCCGTTCCGTGGCACCCACTGTGTTATCACGCAATTCCAATACAAAAGACCAAACTGTCTGTCGAGTAGAGGCTAGATTATGAATAAAACGAGAAGCCCTGTCAAATCTGCAACTCTGGAAATGTCCTGAGATAACTGGCTCCCTTTTATAAGAGGTCTCAATTCTCCTTGTAATAATAAGTTGACATCTGGCAGAAAGAACATTCTCTGATGAAAAAACTGGTCACCTTCACAAGTGAAGGACCGGTACAAAAAGATACAGCCTACTTAGCATAAGCTCTACAGATCCCACAACCCATGACATGAAAGCATATGCCCGAATCTAAACACTCGAGAAGGTGCGACGATTAAAATGAAAAGGTCCGAAGGTGGGAGTACAGTTGTGCTTCTAAATGTCGTCCTTCATGATAGCACTCCCCCAAGCGCTAGAAAGCACTTGCCTTCTATGATTTTATTCTGTACAAAATTTGTAAACCCAACTCGGAATAGCAGTAGAAACAACAACTGGTAGGGCAGATGTCACACAGAAGGAATAAAAAGGACTTGTAGCCATTGTAGATTTGCTTGCCCCTAAACTTTGTATTTGTCTGTTTGTTCAACTCCAAAAAGAGCCAGCTCACCTGAACAGTTCCTGCAGTTCCTTCTTGGTGGCCTCGAAGGGAATGTTTCTCACAAGGATCTTAGTGCTCTCCTTTCCTAGATCCGTCTTCTTCCTTTTGAGTTCGGCAGCCGTCTGCCTGAAAAAGCAAAATGAGACAAAATTTCTTTTACTAGCTGCACCTGATATCCTCCTTTTTAAGGTGGCAGTAATGGTGTAACTGTAAATGGGTCATTGTAACCCAATTATTTCTTCCAGTAATAGGGCACAATAACACGGCACATCATATTGTCACGGGTAGTGACCAATAAACAATAATAAACAGAAATAAATAAACGTTTAATGTGGCGAACTTGTGCCAAAAATAAAAGGGTACAAAAGATAATAACGGAGCGTCGCGGGCGTCGGAGTCGGCGTAGCAGCAGAGTGGAACGCTGGGCGAAAACTGACTGCAGATCAGCACGCGGAGTCCCTTATGTACGAGCGTTGGGTTCTGGAACAATCGGCCTAGATTGTTCGGCGACTGGAACATTCGGAACTCGATCTGACGAGAATGTTCTCGAACTCACGAGAACGCAATGAAAGAACAAATAAAAGAGCATTCCACTAACTGGACTCGAACCCAGACTTTCTGCGCGACAGTCAAGCACGGTATCCACTCGGCCACGCGCGCGGTCGCTCGCCGACGAGCGTGGCATTACTCCCCCCTTTAAAAAGGCATCGTCTCGATGCCACGTAAAAGGCAACAAAACAGAGCGAAACAAACAAAAAATGGGAACATACGGAGGCTCGCGAAACACAATCGTATCAAGCGGTGCACAAGATCACAGTTCGCAGTCTTATCGCGCGTAGTACGGCTTGAGGCGCACGACGTGGACGACTTCCGGTCGTGGAGCGCGGCGTGATGAAGTCCGTATTCCGTCGGGCATCACCTCGTAGTTCAGATCCCCGAGTCGACGAAGTACTTTGTAGGGTCCGAAGTAGCGCTTCAGGAGTTTCTCACTGAGACCACGGCGGCGGATCGGTGTCCACACCCACACCCTGTCTCCGGGCTGGAAGTGGACGTCCCGACGACGAAGGTTGTAGCGGCCAGTGTCGACACGTTGTTGGGCTTGAATACGGTGTCTGGCGAGCTGGCGAACTTCTTCTGCCCGTTGGGCAACCACCTGGGCGTCGTCGCTTCCGTCGACAGCCGGTTCGTGGGGTAACATCGCGTCCAGCATTGTCGTTACTTTACGACCATGAACCAGTTGGAAGGGTGTCACCCCGGTGGTCTCTTGCACGGCCGTGTTGTAGGCAAATGTGACGTATGGCAACACCTCGTCCCAGGTCTTGTGCTCCACGTCGACGTACATGGATATCATGTCGGCGATGGTCTTGTTGAGTCTCTCCGTCAGCCCGTTGGTCTGCGGGTGGTACGCCGTTGTGCGCCGATGGCTGGTGTGGCTGAGACGAAGGATTTCTTGCGTCAGCTGGGCCATGAACGATGATCCACGGTCTGAGATCAAAACTTCGGGAGCGCCGTGCCGGAGGACGATGGATTCGATAAAGAACTTGGCGACTTCCACAGCAGTCCCTACAGGAAGGGCTTTCGTTTCGGCGTACCGTGTGAGATAATCTGTGGCGACAATAATCCATCTGTTTCCTTGCGTCGATGGTGGGAAAGGACCAAGTAGATCCATTCCGATCTGCTGGAACGGTACGGTCGGGGGAGCGATCGGATGCAGGAGACCTGCTGGCTTCGTCGGTGGTTTCTTGCGTCGCTGGCACTCGTGGCAGGACCGTGTGTAGAAGTGAACGGTCTTCGGCAGCTTGGGCCAGTAATACCTTTCACGAATTCGGGCCAGCGTACGGCTGTAACCAAGATGTCCGGACGTCGGGTTGTCGTGACAGGCTTGAAAGATCTCCGCTCTAAGGTCGGTGGGGATTACCAGCAGCCATGGTGTGCTGTTGTCTCCGAAGTTCTCCTTGTAAAGTACACCTTGTCGGAGGACAAAAGTCGGCAGGGCTCTCGAGAAGACACGGGGGACAGTACCCCCTCGTCCTTCGAGGTGCTCGATTAGTGCGCGCAACTCAGGATCGTCTCTTTGACGTCGTGACATGTCGTCGGTGTTCACTGCACCTAGGAAGCACTCGTCGTCTTCGTCGTTGCTACTGCTGGAAGGTGTTTCGATGGGGGCTCTGGACAGGCAGTCGGCGTCGCTGTGCTTGCGGCCTGACTTGTAGACCACAGTCATGTTGAACTCTTGTAGTCGTAAACTCCATCGAGCGAGGCGTCCTGACGGGTCCTTGAGGTTCGCAAGCCAGCAGAGCGAGCGGTGGTCCGTGACTACACGGAACGGGCTCCCGTACAAATACGGACGAAACTTCGTGATTGCCCAGACGACAGCAAGGCATTCTTTCTCAGTCGTGGAGTAATTTTTCTCCGCCTTGGACAATGTCCGACTTGCGTAGGCGATAACTCGCTCGGTGCCGTCTTGCACTTGAACCAGTACCGCGCCAAGTCCAGCGTTACTTGCGTCCGTGTGAATTTCGGTTTCCGCATCTTGATCGAAATGTCCTAGAACAGGAGGAGTCTGCAGTCGTCGCTTCAGCTCGTCGAATGCCTGCTGCTGCTTCTCGGCCCATTCGAACTTCTCGGCGTCCTTTGTGAAGTTTGTGAGTGGTGCGGAAATCCTTGCAAAATCCCGGATGAAGCGCCGATAGTAGGCACATAGTCCAAGAAACCTTCGCACGGCCTTCTTGTCTGTCGGTACTGGAAATGCTGCGACGGCGCGAGTCTTCTCTGGGTCAGAGCGAACGCCTTTGTTACTAACCACGTGACCTAGGAACTTCAGTTCGTCATAGGCGAACCGACACTTTGACGGCTTCAGGGTGAGTCCGGCGGTCCGTATCGCTTGGAGAACTGCTCGGAGTCGTCGCAAGTGCTCGTCGAAGTCGCTGGAAAACACTACGACGTCATCGAGGTAGACGAGACAGCTCTGCCACTTCAGTCCTGCCAGTACGGTGTCCATGACACGCTGGAAAGTTGCTGGAGCCGTGCACAGTCCGAAGGGCATCACCTTGAACTCGTACAGCCCATCTGGCGTGACGAAAGCTGTTTTCTCTCGGTCCCGTTCGTCGACTTCGATCTGCCAGTAGCCGCTCTTCAGGTCCATGGATGAAAAGTATCGGGAGTGGCGCAGCCGGTCTAACGTGTCGTCGATGCGTGGGAGTGGATAGACGTCTTTCTTCGTCACTGCGTTCAGCTGCCGGTAGTCCACGCAGAATCTAAGCGTTCCGTCCTTCTTCTTAACCAGTACAACTGGAGAGGCCCACGGACTGCTTGAGGGTTGAATTATGTCGTCATTCAGCATCTCTTGCACTTGCTCCTGGATCACCTCCCTTTCTTTAACGGAGACTCTGTACGGCGATCGATGCACAGGGCGCGCGTCGTCCTCGGTAACGATGCGGTGTTTCGCAATGCTGGTTTGGCGCACCCTCGACGACGTCGCGAAGCAGTCACTGTATTCGGCGAGAAGGTCACTTAGCTGCCGTCGTTTCGGGCCTGGAAGCTTGGGGTCAATGTCGAGCTGCGCTGGCGCCGTAATGTGTTGCTGAGGCGGCGAGGATTCGTCAGTAATCGCGGTGATTTCGGCGGGGTTTCGGAGTTCCTCGACGTGGCCCACGGCTGCACCTTTCGTGAGGTGTTGCGTTTCGTTTCGGAAGTTCGTCACGAGGGCCACAGTCCGCCCATTCTGAAGTTCAGCCACTCCTCTTGCGACGCCTATTCCTCTTTCTAGGAGTAATTGAAGCTTGCCTTCAAGAACAACTTCGCCGCAGGTAGCTACATCGGCCACTACGGGTACGACAACACTTGATCGCGGCGGCAGGTTCACGTGGTCGGCAGCGACTCGGACGGCGGCTGACGCTGTTTGAGGTTTCTGTGAAGACGGAACAGGCTTGCGCAGCGTCAATCTGTTCTCACCAAGGTCGATGACGGCGCCGTATTCACACAGAAAGTCCATGCCGAGAATAACGTCTCTGGAACAGTCTTGTAGAACGATGAACTTCACAGGGCACGTTTCACCGCGGATTTCGACGCGAGCAGTGCATCTCCCGATGGGTGTGATGAGGTGCCCTCCGGCGGTTCGTATTTGAGGTCCATCCCACGGCGTCGTGACTTTTCGAAGGCGGCTGGAGAGCCTCCCACTCAAGACTGAGTAGTCTGCTCCGGTGTCCACGAGTGCAGATGCGTCGTGGCCGTCGATGACGACGTTCAGATTATTGGACACCACTGCAGCGGCGTCGTTTTGGTCTCTGGTAGCGTTCGAGTGGGGGTCCCCCGACGTTCGTGGAGGATCTTGGCGTCGGTCGTCTTCGGCAACTCCACCTCCAGGGGTTGCCGCGCCTAGTTTCCCCGGCGAGGAGCAAGGGGGGACAGGCTTTCACGTCGTGGTCGGTGCATCGGCGAAGCTGGACGTCGCGGTGACGGCGACCGGAACTCTCGGCGGGACGCAGGCTCGGGGGACTGAGGTCGTCGCAGGTACTCGTCGATCTCGATAGGGCGTTCACCATGACGGGGGCGCGGGTCGTTCGGGTGGAACCCGCGTAGCCCGAGTCGTCGGTATGGGCATCGGCGGTAGGTGTGGTCCGCTTCCCCGCAATGAAAGCACAGAGGGCGTCGGTCGGGCGTTCGCCACACGTCGGTCTTGCGGGGTGCGCGAGGCTCCGGGCAGGCGTACTGGACCTGGTCGTTGTGGCGTCGGTCGTGCTGCGGCGCAGGAGACTGACGTCGGGGCGGCGTGACATAGGTGCGACGAGGAGGCGGTGGCCGTCGGGCCGCTGCGGCGTAACTCAACGTCGGTGGTTCCGGAGCGGTGCTGACGAGAACCTCAGGCTGCAGCGCTTGCTGGACTTCTTCCCTGACAATCTCGGCGATTGAGGGCGAAGCTGGGCTTGCGGCGGCAGGTAGAAGTTTCTTGATCTCTTCCCGGACGACGTCTCGGATCATCTCGCGGATGTCCGTGGTGTTGCAGCCGGAAGGCGAAAAGGAACCGACGCTGGGAACTCGGTGATAGTGGGTGGCTCGTGCTAGAAGGGCACGTTCGATGTTGGTGGCCTCCGTCATGAAGCCTTTGACGGTGGTAGGCGGGCTCCGCACAAGACCACCGAAAATGCTTTCCTTGACGCCACGCATCAAGACTCTGAGCTTCTTTGCTTCGGATGCTTCGGGATCGGCGCGGTTGCTCAGTCGCAGGACATCTTCCACGAAGCTAACGATGCTCTCGTTAGGGCCTTGAATCCTCGCTTGAAGAAGCTCTTCCGCGCGTTCTCTTCGGTGTTGGCTCATGAACGTTCTTCGCAACTCAGCCTTGAGTTGCTCCCAGGAAGTGATCGAAGCTTCGTGGTTCTCGAACCAGTTCCGGGCGGTGGCTTCCAAGGCGAAGTAAGCGTTTTGCAGACACTGTTCCGGTGTCCATCCGTTATGACGGGCCACTCGTTCGTACTGTTGGACCCAGTCGTCGATGTCTTCGTGGCTTTCGCCGTGGAAGGGAGCCGGTGTCCGAGGAGCGACGGGTAGGTAGACGACGGCAGGAGCGGTGGGGGCCTGCGACTGGTTGTCCATCGTCGTCTTCTTCGGCTTGGGTTTGTCCAGCAGCAAACCGTACTCCGGATCCTCTCCCTTGGTGCGGCGGCTGGTCCGAGTTTCAGGTTCCGCGCTGAGTGGTCTTCTCAGCGAGCTTGGAGTCGGGCTTGCACTGCGGGTCCTGGGAGGGGAACGCTGCACGGGCATGCGGTACCCCGCACCTCCACCAAAATGTCACGGGTAGTGACCAATAAACAATAATAAACAGAAATAAATAAACGTTTAATGTGGCGAACTTGTGCCAAAAATAAAAGGGTACAAAAGATAATAACGGAGCGTCGCGGGCGTCGGAGTCGGCGTAGCAGCAGAGTGGAACGCTGGGCGAAAACTGACTGCAGATCAGCACGCGGAGTCCCTTATGTACGAGCGTTGGGTTCTGGAACAATCGGCCTAGATTGTTCGGCGACTGGAACATTCGGAACTCGATCTGACGAGAATGTTCTCGAACTCACGAGAACGCAATGAAAGAACAAATAAAAGAGCATTCCACTAACTGGACTCGAACCCAGACTTTCTGCGCGACAGTCAAGCACGGTATCCACTCGGCCACGCGCGCGGTCGCTCGCCGACGAGCGTGGCAATATATCAAGGCATGTTACCTGGTAAGGTAACAAATGTGACAATTAGAGTGAATAAAGGGTTAAAAGCACAAACAAAAACGGGGACAATGAAGATACACACATGACAGGACAGGCGCTTTGCTTTCAACTGTTCTTTTAATAGCAGCATCGTCACCTATGTGTACACACATTATCGCTTAATCCACATTGCACCCAATCATACACTCAAAGACAGCCATCCAAAAGTGCCATTTCACTCTGAAGCAGATAGACCCCCAGACGGAGCACTGACGCAGTCACTTTCTCTCTTTATTTTTATGTAGAATGCCTCTATAATCTCTCTTTTTTGTTTTATCTTTTGCCTTTCTTATAAACGTCATGGAATTCAGGCCAGGTTTACATCCACAACACCTACAATGGTCAGCAAGACTTGGCGCAGATTACCCATATTTTGTCAAAATGTAGCAGGATGTAGCAGGGTTAGCCCCTGGGCGCAGTTTGGAGCAATTGGCGCAGCAATCACATCACTGCATACAGTATGCATGTACGGGAAGACTTGTACACACTTCCTTTCTTTCCTTGCCTCTTTTACTCCTTTTTAGTTTTTTGAGCAGGCTCTCACAACAACTGGAGACGAGGTTAGGGTTAACCTTTAGGATGATACTATAGAAGCACACTCAACAGGGCTCAAGCAGGGCACACATGAACTATGATAGAAAATTAGAATGATGCAAATTAATTATTTTAGCCTTCCTTTGTCTGGCATAAAAGCAAGCACACAATAATTATACAAAAAAACAATTTTAAATTTCCACAGTACAGCACCAGGTCACACACAACCACAAACAATGACCGTGACGGTTTGTTGTGAAGAGTATTTTCGAAGAAACAATCGTCATATTGTGGTTTTTGCCAAAGGCTGCATAAATCTTTTCCTAATGCAATCTCAAAATAAAAACAAAATTCTTAAAAACTAGCTGCAATTGCAATGCAATTGTAGATTCATTTTCTGAATGTTGCTGTGATGAAAAACCAATGATGCTGCAATGTTGCTGGATGTGAAAAAAAAAAAAAGAACATGCAGTTACATTGGCAGGCACCATGGTTTAACTGTCACTAAGAATGCTAAACAATAGCTGGACAAAGGTCTGTCATTAAGCGATTTCTGACATAATGACTGGAACCAACACTAAACGAAATAGCTGAATGCATATGAAGAGCTTGTGTTCAAAGCATGCTGAAAGTGCAGAACTTATATATGGTGGTTTCAGATAAGTGGTGCAGTGGCTACTACAGTAGGTGACAGGTTAAGAGTTCAGGAGAAACTCCTCCGACCCCTTTCTACTTTGGCAGGGCAAACAATGGAGAGGAGGTCGCATCAGTGACTAGAGATGGCACAGTTTTGAAAAGGGTGAATTGAATTACAATTTAGTGCAATCGAGGAAAGTAACTTAATCATGTAATTTAAATAAAATTTGAATGTTACTACGTAGGCTCGTGATAATTCAAACTGGGATATTTGATACTTCTGGCTAGTTTAAACAAATTTCAAAACTTTGGTTGTCCCACTATGTTTTAGTGTATTCATAAGCCTCTTAGTTTGAACTTTGTTTTCATGTAATTCACACTTTTTGTTCTCGTGGCCCCAATGAGTGCACATCTTTCTGAGCACCGGTGCACTGCAGAAGAGGCAACACCCATGGAGCTTGCTTCCACGGGTGTGGCTTCTCCGGAGTGCACCAGTGCTTGGTGAGAAGCGCACTCAACGGGGCTCAAGCAGGGCACATATGAGCTATGAAACTAAGCACCATGTGGAAATTTCCATAGTAACTTGCACAGACGCTGTGATGTGGCGGCATGGCATAGGTCCACGTCCCAGCATCCGCGCAAATTGCTATGAAAACTGCCGTGCGGTGCCCCTTTTCATTGCTCATGCGTCTCCTGCTTAATCCAGATTCGACAACTTCGTGGCCTGATCAACTTAATTTTGTTTTGAGTTGTCATGTGCTGTCTAAAATGTCCACGATAACATTTTTGAGATGTCATACATTTCACAAATGTTTCATATGTGGCCTACCTGTTCATGATCAGTAGGCCTACGTAGAGAAAATCATCAAATATTTGCTTTGTACGTGCAGCCATTCATATGGCAAATCATAATCTTATCTTGAATCATAATTAGATGAATTTCGGATAACTCCAACTTCTGATAATTCCAACAAAATTTGTGACTTCCTGGAGTTTGAATTAATGAGAGTCAACTATAGTTACATCGATCTTGGAAAAGAAAGTCAGTCACTCACTGAGCGGTCTCCCTTTTGGATAGCTTGAGTTCCACGGCATGTTCATCAAGCTTTGAATGCTGAAGCTGTTTCAAGGCCTTCTTGGCCGATTGCTTGAGCTTGAACTGCACGAAGCCATAGCCCATTGACAGCATCTTGCCTGAACAAAGCACGCAAAACACATATGTAGATCATGTAAAGCCTTTATAAAATAAGACATTAAAAATAAGGTATGTCACACACCAGGATTCTTGAGATCTTTCTTCTTGGCAATCGTCACTTCATGAATAGGACCGCAACCAGCGAAGTGCTGCAATTTGAGAAAGAATATGGGGCAATTCATTTAAAGTCGTGCACACAGATAATTGCACTGTCTATAAAACGACTCGTCCTATTTCAAAATTTGCTTTTGCAACTCCTGGAGGGATTTTAAACCTCATTAACAAAGCTCTTTATAAACACAAGTGGTCTAGGCGTAGCGACTGTAGAACAGTTAAACAATGTGTAATAAGTGTGCATATAGTACCCTAGCTCGTGTAAAAATTACAATCTCTACATATCAACCACACAATATTTTGCATACAAGGGTGTTTGCTTTCCTTTAATGATGAGGCTCATGATTGGAAATAAGCATTTCTAGAAACTCCTATGAGCACACATGCCAGATCAAGACATTTGAAAATTTGGTTCCACAGATGTAGTCGACTTTGAGCGAGTGATTTTCAGTATAAGCATTATAAACTTCCTGTAGCATTTCCTACAGACAAAGATTACAGCTCATAATTGTTTTAGCTTAATAACCCAAAAGCATCAAAAGCAGTTGTGAACATCTTTTCTGATAGAATCTTTAAAAAAATTAAAATGTACCTCTCTGAGAGCTTCTTCCGTGGTGCTAAAGTTGAGGTTCTTCACAAACAGTGTCGTGTCCGGCTCGGGGGGCTCCTCTTCCTCCTCTTCCTCTTCCTGTCTCTCTGCCTTTTCTGCTTCTTTTTTTCCATCTTCAGATGCCTTTGTGGGCTCCTCCTGCAACAACCAACGTTCACATATTTGAAACTCTGTTAAAACTCTTGCAGTGGTGGTAATGTGCTAAGGTTTAAAGCAGTTTAGTGGGTAGATGTGCCATGAACACTGTTTACAGTGGGGGTGGTTACAATTAGAATATGGCTAAGCAGATTTAAAGTTGCCTCACAATATACAAAACTGGTCAGGTCACCTCAAATTGAACAAAAAGACAACCAGACCCACCTTCGTAACATCTTCCAAAGTCGGCTTTGGAACGGTCTTCTTTTCCTTGAACACTCCAATGGGGGCCCATTCCAAGTACAGTGGTACATGCTTGAACTGCAGAAATAATGCAGGGTGAAGAAATAAGCCCAACTAAACCTTACTTCTCTCAATTACATGCCTACCAGAAAAATGAACCCAAAAAACGAGTGCTGCAGAAGGTTTTAAAACAGGTTACATCTGGTCAATACTTCTCGACTACTGAAAGTAAAACTGAGCGAGATGCCCGACGTGGCTTAACATCCAAATTGTTGAATCTCGTTCCAGCAAAGCAAAAATATGGCCAAGTCTAGTACCAAGAAGACCACAAATAAATGGGAGAGACAACCATCAGCCACCTTACATGGCCATCACCGGACACTTAGAGCTGCACTTTGAGACGACTTTAAATGCTGCTGCAGCGGTCATGCTTCATTCTCGAAGCCAAGGTGAATCAATTTTCTCCTCCTCATTTCAATGTTTCTCATATACACCTGAGGCTTAGGTCGGTATCTCCTACTCCAGAGCGCATTAGAAATGCTATTAATGAAGAAAGTGGAATAACTTTCTTTTGTTAAAGTTAAGCTCCAAGTGAAAAAACTTGAGCATATAGTCATTCAGACAAGGGCAACGAGAAACACAGAGCAACATTAGGCAAATGCGAACCTTGGAGTATGCGAGGCGTCGAAAGGCCGTCCGTGCTTCCGAGGGCTCTTGGAATTCCACCAGGGCACAGATGCCCCAGGGAGGAAGCACCACCCTGCTCAGGGTGCCAAACCTGGATGCCGGGAACCAGCACACTTCAGTCACACATCCATCATAATGATTCAGCAGTGCCATGATCCAAGAGATATGCTCTCACCCATTGAGCAAATGAAATGAAAGGTTGAGTTATGAGGGTCAATAAATTAGTTATCTCTCCTCACATAATCGTAAAAATAATGCTTTCTTTCTTTTTTTTTTTTTTACGTAGTGCACCTGCTTTTTTGTAAATGTAAAAACAGATACATTTGAATCCAATTGGAAATGTGAGTATTTCGCCTCTTGCAAGCCCTCTTCCTTCCAAGAGTTTGTTTAACTTCCCTACAAAAAAAAAAAAAAGGAAAGAAAGTACTGCAAGTATGATAAATGCAAATGGCAATGGGAATTAGAATCACACACTAATATCAACTATCCCACTATGTGTGGTCTCAGTTCTAATGGACCCAACAGTAACTTCTTTTTACCCTTTTCTAATACTTGAAATGAAAGAAACTAAAGCCCTTTTATACCTTTCATTAAAAGTGTGTTTACAAAAAAAATGGAGGACCAGCAAAGCTGTTATTTTACGACGTCAAGGACTATGCCTAGCAGATGACGTCTAGGACGACCTCAAGGACGACTTCTAGGTCAACCTCGAGGACGACGCTGAGGACGACCTCAAAGATGACCTCGAGGATGACCTCGAGGACGACTTCTAGGACGATTTTGAGGACGATGCCTAGAGATGATAACAAGGAATCAGGACCTCACTATCTAATAATGCCAAGGAAGGCTGACTAACGCTGGTCGCCCCTCTTTTTATTTTTATTCATTTATACTTGCCACGATCAACAGAGAGTTTTCTGTCAACATCCGCGGACACATTTTTTCTCAGATCCTAGCGCATAACAGCTTCGCTGTAAAAATATATAGATTGCAATTTACCTATAACGATAGCATATATAACGATCTACCACTTATATAATGATCAGTTTCTAGAAGACAATGCTTTGTTGCCAGTCCAGATTCAATGATAATCGGTTAACACGATTGCATTTTTGGGTTTTCTCATTATTGTTATAAGTGGATTGCACTGTATACAGTCGCCGGCCGATTTTTCGGACGCTGATAATTCGGACTTTCTCGATATTTCGGACCCAAAGGAGGAACCGTGACCTACCCGACAGAAATAGTGCATATTCACGACCAATGTTTCGGACAACACTACTTAAATACTGCAAAGTAGAGGTGTACAAATACCGAATAGTAGTTATCAGATCGAATAATGAATCGAATTTAAAAAAAAAGCCGAATATTGAATCAAATATTGAATAGTGATTTTATTTGTACGATTTTTTCAGTGTGCTGTGAATGAGATTATTTTATGTGCAGAGTACGCACCTGGTGCAGAATATGCATCTTGTATGGAACAAAAGCTCAAATATATAAAAGTTCTGGTGAAAAAAAAAGAAAAAGAAAAGAAAAGCAGCTGCTGATGTACGTTGGGCACTAAAGATCCAATTTTATGGCACAAACATAATCTATCTACTCTAAGCGTCACAAAAAGAAACACAAAGTTACAGCCACGCGTGCCTTTTTTTTTTTCTTGTTAAAAGTACGACCTAAACCGCGACATGTCCTTTTTATTATATTTGTATATCTCAGAAAAGGGGCATTTTGCGATATTTCGTCTCAATTTTAACGGAGAAAAAGGGCACCAGGGATTTTATTTTATAAAAATAAACAGATAGATGTTAAATCTGAGTAAACAGGCTTAAACAATATAATCTGAAGTAAGAAAAAAAACGTGATTAGGTGGCGCAAGTCACCGTCCAACTGCCCCTATGCATCCATTCCTTCGTCCATCTATCCTGTTTTAAAGAGCCTAGATTTGAAAGAGCAAGCAAGTGAAACTTAAACCATGCAGACGGCTTCTGCGCAGATTGGTCGTAAGTGTGCATGTGTTGTGTTGTTGTGTAGTCGTGTGGAAAGAAAGCGAGCAAACGGAAGAGCGACGCCTGCCTGCCCATCGACGCTTTCGTCGTTTTGCTACCTTCTCGCAGATTGCATTCAAACATGGCTATCGAATGGTTGGAAACCCTCTCAAATCTATGCACACTATTTTTCCGTTCCGTTTCGTTTCGAATTGGAATTTGCAGCTTGCGCAGCTTACGGTTCCAAGAGAATGACGACAACTCTGCTGGTTTTATCGGCGTGGTTAACGTGGTTTTCTTTTTGTGATCTTGCAGTCACCTATTTCTCTGAGTGTGGCAAGTGTGTTCTACATCGGCGCTTCAATTTGAAACGGTGGCATTACTCGTGAAAAGAATTAGGCCTGACGCGAAAACGGGGTGTTTCGGTTGCGATTCAAGATTAGATTGTGTCACTATCATGAGTAAATCTGCGTGTTATAAAGTTTGTGGCATTTGTTACTTTTCTTGCTTTTAACCTGTGCGTTAGATTTTTGTGGAATGGTAGGACCAATAGGTGTTTCTTGCATGGTCTGTCTAGCATCACGGTGCTAACATCGGGAGGAAAAACGACTCTTAAGTCAACTCCGCGCCGACAGCGCGTCTTTGGACGAATATATTGAATATTCGAGTGACCGAATAATAGGAATTCGATTCGCGAATCCAATTATTTGGGAACTTCCTATTCGATCCAAATTCGTATATTTGAGTATTCGCAAACGACGCTGTACGGCTTCTTTTTTTCTCGAGCTGCGCATCATTAACATCATCATTGTTGTTTCCATTTTGCTTTGTTCATTCGCCACTACAGCCATGGACTTGCACCTCTCAGCTCAATCTCGTCTCGGTGAATTGTGTTTTCGGACTATGCTGGCTTGGACATCATTGCTCCATCTGTTCTTCCGCCGCCGCGATCTGTTGCTAAGAAGCGCAGAAAGTACTCAACCATAATGCTAGAAAAGAAGGCAGTGATTCTCAAGCTAACAGAAAGTTGCCGAACGCAAACGGAGGCTCAACCTAAAGCAATGTGCGCAGGCGTAACCTGAAGCAAGGCACTATTTACGACTTTTTAAAGCCCGCTTAGACGTAATAAAGGCAAGTTTTTTAATCTGCTAATTTTTCAGACTGCTCTATTATTCTGACGTTTTTTCCGGTCCCTGCAATATCTAAAAAAATCAGTTGCCGACTGTGTGTGCGTGTATATATATATATATGCATAGTTTTACTTAATTTATGTCTCATTAAAGAAGCAGTGCAACGATTTTAATGTTGAAAGAATTTGCATTTCTACTTTTGACATTGTTTATCTTATCACAAAGGACAGAAAACAAATCTCTTTCCTTCGAAATGTTGCTATTCCACCGCGTGATTGTGAGGCAAAAGTTAGAATATTTCCCGACCTGCAGCTGCAAGCGGCGGCCATGAGAACCATGCGACATGACGTCAATGGGGGACTTGTAAAAAGATAGAAAGCTGTGCAAACACCTGCTCAAAAAAAGGTAATTTTTTTTATAAATTTTGTTGTTCTAACATAAACATAATTGCATCAAAAACCTGGCATCGTCGACAAAACTTTTATTATACGGAGTTTTAGTGGTGCCATCCATCTCAGGTCAACAAAACCGTCAGCTCTATCTGCTACCACGAACAGCCGCCAGAAACTGGAGGGGGACGGGGGCAGAGCCAGAGGGGGATGGCCGGACCCTGACGAGACTTTTCTCCTTTCGCTATGTTGATCGCGCTGCGCAAGCATGTGGTTACGAGCGTGTGAGTTCTCGCTGCTCGCTGATGGCTCTAGAGAGAGAGCTTCACCGGAACCCCGCGCGTCCCTCATTGACGTCACAGCGCACATGACTCGGAAGATGGTAAAAAAGTTAAGAGGTGGCAAAAAAATTTTTTTTTTAACTTTTAAATGTCAATTTTTAAAATAAAAATTAGGACATGCAGGCAAAAGCGTTTTTTTGTTTCTTGCTTCAGAAAGGTCGAGACACCGACTCCCTAACTATTTAAGCCGAGCACTGAAATCTAGTACTACCTATAGGTAGAACTAGATTGAAAATTCATACTAAAATATTATATTTTAAAAGAGTATTAGATATTTTAAATCAACTGATGGTTCCAAGTTTTGCTACTCATGCACCCATACTGAGCACACTGAGAGATACAAAATCCTTCTCACTTTAGGTTATGTGGCATTAATTTTCCAGCTAAATTTAGCGGGGAAACTGTGGGAGAAGGGGAGGGTACGGTTGAGGAGGATGAGGGGTACGCAGGAGGAAGAGGGGAGGGTATGGAGGAGGAGGATGGGGGAAGGAGGAGGGAAGAGGAGGGTGAGGAGGGCAGGAGCAAAGGAGAAGGGCAGGAGGAGAAGAGAAAAAGATGAAGGGAGGGTACGGAGGAAGAAGGGGGCAGACCCTTCCCTCCTCCTCAAGAGTCGCACTCTAATTTCGCATTACAGAGATATGTAAATGTCTCAATTTTTTGTAACCCCCCACCCCCCCCCCCCCCCCAAAAAAAAAAGGACAATCCTTGATAGACTTCTGAAACAAGGTCAAGACACTGCCCACTGACTTAGCAAAGGCGTCCTGTATCTCGTTAGGATGCGTCTTGGCCGGGAGGTTTTTGACCAGGATGACCGTCTTGCTGCGCTCTGTGGCCGGGCGGCAGAAGGCGTCAAGCTCCACGCCCTGCCCCTGCAGAAACTCCTTGGTCTCTGTCACCACCTGTGTCTCGCCCAAGGCCATGCGCACGGCCACACTGTCCCCCATCTCCTGCATAGGGGAGGGCACATTAGGTCAGATCCCTGACAAGGAATGAGCTCAGAACGAGGAGGCTCATTTAGGGGTGGTGTGTGGCAGAGCTACATCGTACCAGTTTTCATTTCAGTACTACAGTCATGTCTCGTTAAAATGGAACCCGTTAATATGGATACCCCACTCCATAGACAAAATTTTCAGGGACAAATTGGGTAAACGCATGTATTTTTTGTCTTATTATTAAACACAACTCAGATTATGAATGATCATTTAAGGAATGGAGGTGCTGATATTAACGAGACATCACTACAACAAACATAGGCAAGCTTCCTCGTACTGGATGGATCTCATTGCGGCACGTTGGTGGCCACTTTAAGGTTTTCTGAGAATGCCTGCTTTTGTTATTTCAGGGATGGAACAGGGCAAAGCAGCTTTGGGGCAATCTTGGGAGCAGAAAAAACTGCAGTTTGGAGCAGGCTGGGAGCAGCAAAAACGATGTCTTGGATCAAGTTGGGAGCAGCATAGGAGTTTTAAGAATGCAAAAATAGAAGCTAAAAGTCACCCGGTTTTCAAAACTAAAGGAACTATGGCGTGCAGATAACTCCATGTGAACTTAACGGTAGTTTCAATAAACTCTTTAGTTGCAAATATTTTTCACAAAGTTACGTGGAAATTACACAAGACGTATGAAGCAAAACTGCACATGACAGTGTGACACGTGAGAAAAACCGACTCGCAAAGAGGTAAATATAAACATATACAAATAGCTTTCATTGCTCAGCATTGACTAGCAAGGTGTACTGAAAAACAAAAAGGCAGGTACAAAAATGGTCTTTCATTTTTCAGTGAGTAGAATAAGATAATAAATGTCCTTGTACAGATAAATCTAGTGGGACTTTGTCAATTGCTACAAATCAGTGGATACATTTCACTTTTTCGAGATTCTGAGCCAATTTCGCATTAGCCTCGGCTAACAGCACTTGTCCAGACTCAATCTTCTCCATCCCCCCCCCCCCCCCCCTTTTTTTTTTCTTCAGACCCAACTCAATCAATGACCGTGCATACTGAAGCATAGTCCGTGAACAGATGATGCGCTGTTCAAGTTGTCGCTCTTCTTCCTGAAGACCAGCTCTCTTCATACTCGCTTCCCTTGCATCACTGTTCTTCCTCTTCTGCCTCCCGTTGTCTCACTTTTTTCAACTTCTAGCCTTTATGTGTAAACTTTATCAGGCTTCACAGCTTGCAGCAAGTCTGCTGTCAAAGGCACTTTCATGACATCACTGCCAAATTGCTTCAAGGTGCAATCAGCACAATCACGATCTGGCAGCTCAGATCTAGCTCCGTCATATGCCTCACTGCTCACTCGCCTTTGTTCCCAAGTTTTCTGCAAGGGTCCAAGGCACACGTTTGTACCACTATTCAGATCTTCAGATGAAGTGATTCCAGGACTTTAAAAAAGCACGGTGAGCAGGCAGCAATGGCGGCTAAAGTTGGTGGCAGCAACCCTCAGATACAGATTTTCGGATTCAGAAACACTGGCGTCCAATTTGGGCTGGAAGGTCAGGTGCTCGAGGCTCGTTTATAATTCAGTTTGGGCGCACCTTGACACAATTTTGTTCTTATGTATACTTTTGTATCAGTGTGGCGCATGAAAAGCGCAATTGGTGCAGCAGGTCCATCCCTGTCATTTTATGGTTTCTATTTTCAGCAAATGCACCGTAGAAGTAACCAGAAAACCATCTGGGTTCATAGCCATTCTGGCTAGGACTCTCGTTCAGTCCTACCAGCCATTTTCTGCACAAACCTTCATGCAGCAAGAGCAACTGCTACAGCTAAGAGCTCAGGCTTCCAGTCTTTGTTGCAATACATCTTAAAGGGATGATGAACCGAAATTTGTAGCTCACAAAACAAGGCTGAAGCGATAAGCAGGACGCTGCAAAACCCAAAAAAATCATGGGAAATAAGCGCCGAAGTTGAAGAGATAGGCAGGACGTCGAAACCCAAAAACATAACTCGTACAGTGATCTCTACCGGATGGACGTATTTTTGCAAAAGCAGAGCGTGACTGAACACGTCCGATGAGGTCAAAGAGACATGTGACGTCGCGGGTTCCCATTCCCTCTCCTTTTCACGTCGTCCCCTCAAGCTGGTGAACCGAAGCGAGGACGAGAAAAGTGATGCTGCTCCCCCTCATTCTCAACTGTTCTTAAGAGAATTGTGATGTCACATTCCTCGCTTGACCATGCCCTTGTTCAAAAATATGGCCATCCGTTCAAGATATTGATGTATGAGTGATGTTTTGGAGTTTGTAGCATCCCGCTCAACGCTTCTGGTGCCTTATTTAAGTTATTTTGCAAAATCCAAATTGCAGTTCAGCATCCCTTTAAGGTAAAACAAAGTAACTTCCTATTGTCTTGCTTTGACCAAAGGCAAACTTAAATTAAAGATTTGCACCTCAAAAATATATTATTAACTAGGGCTCAGAGTCTTTAAGTTTATATAAAAAAGCTGGGAAAGATGTTCAGCAAGAAATTTCTTGGAGACTCAATCACCGAGCTGAAGTACATCCTTCTAAATTTAGACTTACAAAAACATTGGACGCTATTGAATTTCTACAGGTAGCATACAGACTGAAATTGGCCACTGGGTCAGCTGACAGAAACTCCAAAGGTGAAGGCAGCATTCCATTAAGGTTGATTCTCCAGTGACAACAAAGCAATGAGCAAAATTGTTCCTACGGTTCCGAGGAGTTCCTGTTTGCTGGTGTCGTAACGTTCAGCCATCACATCTGCCAGGGCATTGGCTCCCAGAAACAAGGTGTTCCAATTGTGCCCACTGAAAATGTAGGAGTGGTAATTAAAACTGACTGCTTGCAAAAAACAAAACGACAAATTGACTGAAGATTCAGCAAAAGCAGCCTGCAACATGCACAAGCAAAGAAAGATTTTCTTTTATTACCATCCTAATTTTTAAAAAAGATATGGCTGCCAAACCTTTTTTTAGTTACCAGCAAGTTTAATGCAACAAGATGATTCTTTAAGAAAAAGAAAAAAGCCACTGAGGTTTTAACAAAAAAAAGTTATAATTTAGAACAAAATATGAGCATACAAAATTTAAACTCAGAAAATTTTTAAATTTTGATTATGCAATTTTATGTGTTAGTTACCTCATTTAGATGACATCACATAAAATTCATTTGACAAGAAAGCTGAAGATGCAGAAGAGCTGGTGCAAGATGTACATGGTAACCCAAAACCAGAAAGAGAGAAACACAAAAAATGAAAGGCGTTTACAACACTTTAACACCGAATTAGAGCGCAGCTCTTGAGGAGGATGAGGGGAGGGTACGCCTCTCCTCCCCCTCCTTCTCTCCTGCTCCCCTCCCATTTAACAGGAAATTTTCATTACATTACCCGTTAAATTCAGAGGAAAAAATTCCTTGCTAAATTTAGCAGAAAAATTTTCTTTGCAAACTTTAGCAGGGAATTTATTCTGTTAAATTTAGCAGGGAAATTTTTCCACTATAGACCTTTCCAGCGGCAGTCTCGAACGAGGCGAGCGGGCAAAAAATGCTGAGTCCCTGAGCTGTGGACGCATGCCCAGCGTCCGATATACCGCACAGCAGAGCAACAGCGCATGCTTGAAAGCCGTTCCACAGCCCAGCAGACAAAGATGGCAGCGCGCAGGAGGCGATTTCTGCAAAGGTCTATATTTTGCGGGGAATGTTTTTCACTAAATTTAGCAGGGAAATTTTTCCGCTAAATTTAGCGCAGGATTTTTTTTCCGATAAATTTGTGGGGAATTTTTCCGCTGAATTTAGCGAGGAAATTTCCCCACTAAATTAGAGAGGAATTTTTTCCGCTAAATTTAGCAGGGAAGTTTTTTGCTAAATTTAGCGGGGAAATTCTTTTGCAAAATTTAGCGGGGAAATTTTCCCGCTAAACTTAACGGGGAGGTTTTCAGTCTAAATTTAGCGGGGAATTTTTTCCGCTAAATTTAGCAGGAAAAGATCCCTTCTCCTACTGCGTGACCGTCGTAATGTCATTATGGGAAATGTCCCATAATGCAACGTGCGGTTACGCTGATGACAACGCCACTCAAGCCGGAGACGGGTGCCCAAGGGCTGCGCTCTAAAATGAAAGACGCTTACGACTCCCTGTAATGCCGAATTAGAGTGCAGCCCTTGAGGAGGAGCAGGGGAGGGTATGCCCCTTTTCCTCCTCCGTACCCTCTCCTCCTTTTCCTCCCTCTTGACCTTCGTGACGTCACTCGTGACCTTAATGACATCACACGTGATATCATTATGAAAAACGTCCCATAATGCAATGCGCGGTTACGAGTCACTCTCGCGACGTCAAGTATGGCGTCATTATGGAAAATGTCCCATAGTGCAAAGTGTGGTTCGGCCAATGGCGACGGCGACGCCGCTCATGCCAAAAACGGGTGCCTAAGAGCTGCGCTCTAAAAAAAGGATGGCATGACCAAAGTTTTCACCTTTCCCAAGGTCCAGATTACTGTGGTAAATCAATACTTGAGTCTATTTTATTGGACCAAGAAAGCAGATATAACTCCACAATCTGCCTTTCTTGTAAACTGAACAGTGCTTCACAATTTTATGCTCAGTGATCTCAGCAGGAGTGGGCTAATTGCAGTAATGGCCATTAAAACTCAAATGACACGACCAACAAGAACCTCTGCAAGAAGAACTTGCAGAGGTCTGAAATAAATTACAAATTACAATCCTTTCTTCGAAAGAAGAAAACACACACGAAAAGATAAAAAGCAAACAAAGATCTTACCTGCCACTAGACTTCTTCTGCTCTGCCTCTTTCTTGTCCTTGAAAGACATGGGCTCTGGGATATGGCACAACCAAGAACATAATATCAACCACATCTACAAAGGCAAATGAAGAAATCGACTCAACAGAGTAATCAAGTGCCAATACTTACTCTGTGCATCCTCTTCTTCAGAGTTCTTTGCCTTTGCTGGAATGAGGTGGAGCAACCTTCCCTGAAAACAGCAGTGTCAAGCAAGTATAAGCCACCTGCTCTGTCTTCCTTGCAGGTACAGAACAGAACGCCATTTAATTATCAGTACAGAAGACGGAACGAAACGTTGAGAATGAAAACCATTCACAAGTCGTGTCCATAAAAAGGCCGGAGTGTATGGGAATGAGGAATGGGGCAGAAACCTCAAGTTTATGCGGAGTGCAAGTTCATCTGCTTCTGTCACAGGGGTTGCAATGGGTGTCAGAACACCAAGCTCTTATTCGCTGATTGAAAAACGCAGTGGTTAACAAGGCATCTAGCACTGAAGTCTACCCACTACCCTTTCAATCGAAGCCAATCAGAGCTCGGCATAATTCGGACGGCACCACAACTCCTGCGTAAGAGGCAGACGACTTTCTCTCCAAATTCATACACCACAGGATACCTATGAAGAAGACAATAAATGAGACACTAAACTGATTGAAATGCCTTTAACTAACACATGCAGTTTTTTCTTGTTGACTTGAAAAACATGAACTTCTGGCAGATCACAGAAAGACTACTGTAAACTCCAAGGTTAATGGCATAATCTACAGTCAAGCCCGTTTATAACGAACAGCAGGAAATGCTACGATCAATTCGATCTAGCAAAAACCATTTGCAACGAACTTCCACGATGCGTTCGTTGTTAAGGTGAAAGCTTCTCTTTCTTTCTCATCTCTTCGCTTGCAACTTGTAACAAAATGCTGGAATTTTTTTTTTTTTTTTTGCATGCTTGCAAAGTTTGTTTTTTTAGCTTATCACCCCTGCTGAATCGCTTCTCTTAGTGGGCAACCAATTTGAGATGAAAAGATTTTCGTTTGTTTTTCCGTGCCTGTGTGCAGTGTTTTTTAGCTTCTTCCCCCCCATCTGAATCGCTCCTCCTCGCACAATTTTGTTCGCAGCTTGTGCTTTTGGAATTTTCTTTCTTTCCAACATTTTTCTGGGGGGAAAGGGACATGCTAGAAGACGATTGTTTGCGCATTTTTGGAAGCCTTCCCGGGGAAAAAAGTTTGAAATAAAAAGTACTGTTTACGTGCATTTTTATTTAAATTTTCCGTGAGTTCGATATTGACAGTAATTTACTGTACGTGGGTTCGTTCTATACGGGTTTCACTGTATGCACTGCTACCGTTTTTCCAGTGTGCAATGTGCATGGCTGGATAATGTGGACCCCCAAAAGTATTTGCCTTGCTTAAAATTTTTTAATCTTAAAATTTTTTAATCACACAAAAACTTAAAAGCAACATTCACTTGAATTTTAATTTGGAGGATCTATGGCTTATAAATATGACTTAGACCGAACAATTCAGAATTAGTTTCCCTAGTGTTCAAGAGGGGCCCTTGATTGACATAAGTCCATGTGACTTAAAGCAAGTTTGTCTAGCCTGTGAAAAATAAAGATTTTGTATAAAATGCACCATAATATAAAAATCACAGCACCCAATATAAGTAAAAAAATTAAGTGCCTGATTCACCACCAGCAAAGTTGATTTCATCTCTCATATTTCTTCTTTTCCCAACAGGCAAGATGAAGATAACTTCAGAAACTGCATGCTACAATTGGGATGAACTAGACATTGGTACTTATTCACACCTTACTCCCATAGACTATTAATGAGCACCAAACTTTACTGCAAATATGATGCCCCAAGTGAGCACTTCCAGCACACTAGTATCATAGTTTTGATGACAGCCTTTGAATTGGAAACAAGAAAAAACAAAAACAAAACTTGATTACTTTTTTGTGTAATTTGTGTGGATCGAGAACAAACCTGAAGCAGCTTTCCATCCAATTCAGAGAATGCTTTGATGGCGTGCTCAGGAAACATGAAGGAGACGAAGGCAAAGCCCTTTGGCTTCCGTGTGATCTTGTCGATGGACAGATGCACCTCTGATATTGGACCTGCATTGGCAGAACAACTCAAGCAACAAACATGCATTGAAACAAACCAATAGTATTGTGCAAGATTATCTTGCAGATTCTACTCCCTCAATCAAATCTTCAACAGTCTACTTATTTTCTGTTGTTGTAATACCAAGCTGTAAAAAATAAGGTCACGTTCGAAGTTTCAACTATCCAAATTTTCTTCAAAAATCTGAACAAAATTGGTTATTGCAGTTGATGAGAAGTGCATCTGTCTAAAGCAATCAATGACATAATAAGTTGACTTTGAGTCAAACCTACATCCCACAAAGAAGCTACAACCTCATAATTTTATCACTCAACACTTGTTTACAGCCTTGCCAAACTGCAGAATGTTTAGACATAAAAACTTAAAATGGAGGCATACTGTCAAATGAAGAATTTCGACGGTTTGTTCGAACAGAACAAAGTATTGAAATCAACTTCTCTGATGTTTTTGGAGATAGGTTATTTAGTTTAAAAACCTTTCTCAAAGTAAGGACAGAACAAGCGGGTTGGTATTGATAATTAAAATTGAGGAAGAAGACGAGAAAGGACATTGCCAGTTCCCAGTTGGAAGTTTGTGTTTGTCCGTCCTTTCTCGTTTTCTTCCTCAAATTTAACTTTCTCAAAGCTTGGCTAATTTTTTCTCTTTGTGACAGACAACTTGGCCATCTATAAAAAGTCGAGAATCCTCCGAAAGACATTATGCTGATTGTTAGAAAAGTTGTTTCCACTGGCAGTGACTGTGAGGCTAAGTAGAGTCACATCAGGTTAAAGCAATTCTCATCTGCATCTCTATACTATATCAACCCACAAAAAATAGCTTCTATACTCATTCTAATTGTCTTTCACTAGTCACCTTTAGCAGAATATACTGAAAAACTTACATTAGTGAGCTCTCAATGTCACAAATGTGCAGAGAGTAAAGATGAAGCACAAAATAAAACAGTGGCAAAATTCATGCATACCATGCTCATAAAAAAAAAGTACAGATACAGAAAGGCTTCTAATGTGACTGAGCCTGATAATAAAAGCAAATGGCAGAGCACAAACATTCTGCAGAAAACATGCACAGCTTACCAAACTTTTTGAAGAGTGCCTCGATGTCGTCTTCCGTGACAGTGTAGGACAGGTTCCGAACAAAAATACGACCAGTCTGAAAAGAAACAATGTCTCTTGACTGGTTGTAGGCATGATACCCTGCCTGTGAAGATGTATCATTGCATGGACAGCAGAGAATAGTATATAGGTATATGCGTAGGCCTCTTGTACTACTACAGTTCCAAGACTCTACCGTGACATGATGTGTAGGAAGACAGATGTACTGGTTATAATGAGGTGGTGGCAGAAGGGTAAGGTCAACCCAGCAGAGCAAAATTTATGTATAGTTGTTCTGCTACTGTTTTGTTGCATGAATATGTACATCACATTTCTTGAGCTGCCCCAAGTGTATTTTACCTCAATATTTTCTGACCCCAATGCATCACTTGCCATATTCTTGTGTAGCAGGCCCTACAGATGCTAAGGTATCTAAATGTTTTTGCTGCAAGTGACTTGCACATGCATATAGGTCTTTCTTAGCTACAGGAGCTTTAAACCTGTTCACTTTAGGGGACTCAAAAATAGTTCTGACAGCAATTTCATACTTGCCTTGCAAGTGAACTGAGAGTATTCACTAATCCCTGCCGGTGAATCAGAAGCTACGGAGGAATGAAGGAAAACATACTCACATCTGCCAGTGTTTCTGTTGGATCTCCCAAGCTTTCAAACTTAAAAAAAAAGAAGCAAATTATGCTCTATTATATGAAAACAACTTCACAAGTAAAGAAGAATTTCTCTATAATGTATGCATGACACTACTTCACTATTGTGCAGCTCTTTTCATACCGAAGGGGCACATTGTTAGAGCTATCTCTTGACTGACTAATGCTGCTACCTCTCACTGTGATGATCTGGCCAATGTGGTTACAACAGAGAAGCTACAAGCAGTTTATCTTTAACACTAATTGGTGATGTTACTGCAAACTTTTAATTTGGAGCAATTTTCGGACCACCTGAAAACAAATTTTCGAGCACTTTGGTTGTTAGAGCTATCTCTTGACTGACTAATGCTGCTACCTCTCACTGTGATGATCTGGCCAATGTGGTTACAACAGAGAAGCTACAAGCAGTTTATCTTTAACACTAATTGGTGATGTTACTGCAAACTTTTAATTTGGAGCAATTTTCGGACCACCTGAAAACAAATTTTCGAGCACTTTGGAACACCTAAAACTGGCTTTTGGAGCATTTTGAAGCACCTAAATATCACTTTCCAACAAACTTTTGAGCATGCAGTTATAAAATCTTGTGATTACCTAAATTTATTAAAAAATTTTAAAGTTTGCAAATATACCCAGTCTTTTTTTTTTTTTTTCGTAGAGAGAGTAAACCACTCTGTAATGTTGGTCTTCACAGGCTTAATGCAAAAAATGCATGTTTCACAGGAATCCAACGTGAAAAATTACTGAACAGATCTTCCTCATATAAAGAAAAGTTGGCACAACTGCTGATGCAACTTAATTAGTATTGTTTATTTTGAACACGAAGCACCTATCAAAGGCCCGTCACTTAAAGCATTTGCAGCCTTCCATTTATGCCAGCCAGCCAGCTTCTTGGAAAGGCTTGGGTTTGCCTCAGAAAGAAGCACCTGCCCAGATTCTATTTCTTCCGTTGAACTTGCCAATGAAGGTTGATGCAGTTGACTGGGTTGATAACAGCAGCTAGGATAGGTGGCGCAAGTAGCTGCACAGTCACACAACTTGGAGCAATATGGCAGTTTTTTTATCAAGATGGCGCAGGAAATTGCCTTTGGCACAAAATGGCGCAGGAGGGGAATCCCTGACTGACAAAAAATACCTTTCTCCACTTCTGCTCAGGGACCACTTTCTTGGTGTACTTCGTCACCTCCAACTTGTGACCAGCTGAAACAATGCCCGGAGACCACATAAGCAAGAGCGAGGTATGCTGGGCAACACTACCAACCGAAAGCCTGAGGAACACCTGTCAAGCAATGCAAGCCCCACTCACCCATGAAGCTCCGGTGCTTGTTGAGAGCTTGCTTCATTTCTTTTTCTGTTTTGAAACCTAAATATGCAATACCTGCAAAGCCACAGTAAAAAGCAAAAATCACTGCTTAAGAGGGGGCACACCTCAGAGCCCCATAGAGAATACATGAGGTTTTTCACCAAATTAAAAAAATTCTCACATAATAACGGCTGCACTGATCTTCTTGAAAATTTCGGCTTTAAAGACATTGAGTCATTATCGAGACACTAAGCGCAACAAATGTTTCATCATAAATTTAATTATATTCTTTAAAAAATCATGAAAATGGTCAAAATCGGCTAATTCGGCACTCTTGCGTTCGGAGCGAATTTACAAAATTATCTAAATTCAAACATAAGAAGTATTGCGCTTAATGTCTTCTAAATTTATTACGGAATCGAATAATATTCAAATTATTCATGTAAGTCGATTTGTTCCGTAACTACAGCAAATATAAAGAACCAAGGTGTCGGTGCTTGTTTTCGTCGTTTTTAAGGTACCTCTCTCTCCCGTGCGGTGGCGCTCGCTGTCCACGAAATGCGAAATCGTCCGTTCGGAGATCGGCCGGATCGGCACTGTACGAGGTGTTTTTCCGTGGCTGTATTCCGCGCCCATATCCTGTTTCATTCTGCACGCCGAGGCGTTAGTGTGCATGTCTTGCTTTCCTGGTTCTCGCTGGGTAGGTCTCCGTGTTTTCGCAAGTGGCAAATTCACCTTGGAGCTATGGGTCGAAGACAACCGTCCTGTGGCAAGCGGACCGCGAGGTGTTCCACAACCCTGCGGTCCGTCAACGCGTTGTGCTTGTTTCTACTTTTTTTTTTCTTTTAAAAACAGGCTTTTTTTTTTTTGACGCAAAGTTTTATTTTATCGTTATCCTTCACACAAACGTCCTTCGGCCTTGGGGTCGTGGAAATCGGGGATGAAGCGTGCACAGAGTAGATCGTTGTTTGTCTCCTTTTTATTTTTCACGGACGTCCTGTGACCTCCGTACGGTTCGTGGTCACCGCAATCTAACGCGGGGAAAAACGGGTCACCTGCTCTGTAGTCAGGGTATTCCTAGGGGCCGGTGATAACTCGCTGTTCTTCTGGAAATTTACATATCACCCAAAAAGGTGACATGGGTAATGATTACGGTATGTTTTTTCCAGTGTTTATTTTTGAGCAAAAATCGGTGCATGTTTTTCGGTGCTTATTTTTTAATCACCAGTGCATTATGGGTTGAACGTCTTGTGATGACGCTAAAAAGCGTTGATAACCAAAGAAAAATTCGATTGGACAAGAACATTTCAAATTTCCAATTCTATTCACATATCCATTACGCTCTTCTCGTGGGAGCATCTATATCCTGACGAAAAATGCCTAAGTCATTGAGCTGTGAACGCATACTCAGTGTACAATCTTTCGGCCTAGAGAAGTATTGCGCACGCTCGAACGCGCTTCACAGCCCAGTAGACGAAGTTGGTGGCACCCAGAAGGCGAGTTTTTGAATGGTCTGTAGTAGGCAAAAGAAACAAATAACAATCAACGCATATCAGCTCTTCAAGCGAAGAGGCGCGTTTCTAAGGTCAATGGTTCCGGACGGCACTAATGTTGTTGGCGTTGTCGTAAGATGACGTCAGTTCATACGAACTGACGTCATCTTACGTGATCACGTGACGCAAACACGTCATCTTACATGATCTCGTTACACGAAATGACGTCATCTTACGTGATCACGCTGCACGAAATGACGCCATCTTACGTGACCACGTAACACGTCATCTTGTAAGTCAACCTCTCCCCACAGCAGCGCGCTCCGCGCTTTCCGGGCCCGTGCAGTGCTGTAGTCGAAAGCAAGCTCCCTATGGCAAGCGAAAGCTTCTGAAGTCTCACATTGAGAATACTCGCAAACGACCGTCTGTGGAAGCTTCGCACGTTGAGGTTTTGTTGAGATCGAGCCGTCGTGTTAAGTTATCGTTCAATAAAGCCCTAAAAAATATGAATGTAGTTGATGTAGACATCAAGATCTAATCAAAAATGCGGTTTGACGTCGTTTAATTAACGTGTACAATATACAAGTGTAGAAAAAAATGAGTTATTTGTGCATAGATGTTTAAAAAAGTGTTTATTATTCGACATAGGACTTTGGGAGAAGGATGTGTTCAGATTTTTCTTCATGAGTGCAAATATACCTGACGCAATAAATAGTGACGATTTTATCGTCCCAGTGGTGAGCAGGTGATTTCTTGCTCGAAAACAATGATGCCATTTCATAAACCAAGTTCTGTGACATATGCTTTTCCAATGTCTGGTCACTTTTTTGTAAACCTTTCAGTCCAAACGAGGAGGGGGGTCACCGAGCCTATCTTTTTGTCTTCCTCTAGGACAGACGTACAGAGTTATACCGCAACACGCATCTGTGGAGCATACAGAGCTATCGCTCTCCTGTTGGCGGTACAGTAGCAGACGACACAACGCAGCTCCGTAGTCTATCGAGGGCACGGCTAGTTGCGGCCCGTAGCGCGGCCGTTCAGACTAGGGAAATGGTCTTGAAGAACCGAGAAATGGTATCTTGTGTACAATAATCACATGTCGTTAGTATACTAGTATTCTACTTGCTAAGCCAAATAAATATTTGCAGCTTGTGAGAATATGTTTGCGTGACGATTTACCGTTCACACTCCTGACGGATGTTAGCGAATCCTTCATGTTCGTGGCTCGCAGTTATCGATACCCCCTCGGAGTGACTTCACCATATATATTTTTTTCTTGCTTGCAGGACATCATAAAAATCACAAACACGTGAGAAAAAAAAAATCTTATGAGTACGCGTGATTTTGAGCTTCGCAGCTCTAAAGATGCCCGGTAAATGTCGTCCAGCTTGGGAAGAAACTAATCCTTTTTGTTGGAGTTTGACTATCGTATGCTGGCAGCTCGTTTCCGGTCTGTTTTGTCTATACTCCGTTTCACCGTAATTTGGCAACCCTCAGTCAGAGCTGCTGTGAGGGAATCACAGTCGCGGAGCAAAGCACGTGACAGCTACTTTTAGGAGCAGTACTATGGCACCTGCAGCGCGTCTCCGACTGGTGTATTTAGCGTCGTATGCTGGCCATACATCAAAAGTGGTCCCGAAGTGCAACAAATGACGTCACAGAAGACGGAGTGTCACGCTGTTGCATCTCGCGATCCTGGCAATTCATCGTAGAAATGCTGGCGAAAACCACGAGGGAACACGAGTGTCGCTGTCGTCATGGCGTCCCAACGAAAAGCAATTATACAATTTCGACGTTTTTGTAATTCAGTAATTTAAATTACTGTATACAATTTTTCAGAAAATAAAGACATCATAACCAAATAGGAACTTTCGTGCTAAAACATGCAGTGCGAAGTGAAGACAACTACTATATTTTTTTTTTCTTGATGTCCACAAAAAAAAGGCTATGCAGCATCGATCCTACCGTTTTTTTTGTTGTTTTTTTTCGCACATTATGTGATGTCCTCTAACACGAAAGTACCGACGTAAAAGCGCTGTAGAGACGATATAAAAACAAAAATTTAAGTGAATCGAGCTTTGTAGTTGAATGGAAAAAAAATAAATAATTAACGACTTTTTACGGTAAACACTTCACCTCTAAGTAGAACTTCAAAAAAGTGACGGTTACGCGCTTTCATGCCCATTTCAACAAAGTTGGGAGAACGATGTATTGCATCTTGTGAATAGACATGTGGAGCAGCATGTTTATGTTAGAGGCATTGTGTGTAATCGCTGCGCAGTACCTGCCAAAAGAAGATATTATTTGGGCACAGTCTCAACCGTTTCTGTCTGTGTGTGCTACGAATACAGCAACTCTTTTCGTAGAAGAAGTGATGAGGAAATGGCGTGCCCTTGATGATACGATTGTGATTATGAAATAACATTTTTAATCAGCCAATAATTGCGACCTGTCCGGTCGCCTGGAACCCCGACAACAACTATCGTTCTCTGGAAAGTTCATTCTAATATTTACACGTTTTGTGGAGTTTATCGAGCGAATAAGAATGTTCAAACAATGAGCTAAACCTACACGAGTTCCCGAATCCAACACGGCGCTTTTGAATTTTAGCGCCGTAGATAGTTCTGCGAACAGTGTATACTTCTGTGCAAATATTCGTCTAACAGTTTTGCAACGTTGGAAAGCATCAGAATGATTCAGAATCACTGCGGAGTTGAAACTCGGGAAGATAAGACGGGCGCTTGGGAGACAGGGGCACAACCGGGGGACAAACGTGCTACAATCGCATACCCTTCCAAGGTCATCGCTTGGGCGACCGCGCGCGCCCAAGAAACCTTTTTTTTTTCTTTTTAGGGGTGGTGGTGGGGGGGGGGGGGGGGGGGGGGGGGGGAGAGGGGAGGGGAGTGGTGTAGGCGCTGATTGTCTTCCTTCTTTGTGGCTTTTGACAGACGCACAACGAGACTGGCAGAACAAGCGCATGATTCATTTCTTTCGACGGAGGCGTTCTGTCTGTGTATGCGAACATGATTTTTTCCCCCTTTTAGTAGTTAGTTGTTCTTGCCTTGACTCGGGTCCCAGTGGGTGCGTTGACGTTGTATGCCCACTATTTTTTTTTTTTTTTAGTTTATGGTAGTTTTTGCGCTGATGGGGTATCAAGGTAGACAAAAATAAAAAAAAAAAAAAAATAGCGCCTTGACAAAAAAAAAAAAAAAAGTTGTTGCGATCAGGGACGTTTTCAAAGCGATTTTAGGAGCCTGCAGTGTTACCACAGGTGCAGGATTGAGAGCGTAACCCACGCACTTGAAGAGAAGGGGAAGCTCTCGTCTTATTGGAACTCTCTTTTATGGGTTTCCACGTCGCGATTGTCCTTCAAAATTAACTGTCCTTTATTTCTCGCTCGTGGCTTCCAAGTACTGGAAGCCACGACTCGAGCCACAATAGTTTTGCGAAATCAAGGTTTCGCTGAAATGGATAACTCTCACATACAGTTCGACGCACAATACCTTTGCCGTATTGACTCGCGAGAGATGCCCCCAACACGGCTGAGTATGACGGTGCTCCAGACCTAACATCTAAATTTGG